TGGTAAAACATCAATATTTCAGCAAATAGTCATGCTTGGTCGAAGCAACGATGTGCTCTTCGTGTTTACCAATGATTTAAAGCCAGTCGATGAGATCTACTTCAGGAACGAAGCTAAAGACACATGCAATTTTGTTCTCGCGCATCGCGAACATTACTATGTGAGCTGTCAGAGCGCTATTTTGAAAATTTCCGAGGTAAAGCATTTCATTTTTGGATCACATCGTACGGTAGCGCACCGGATTTTCAGTATTTTGGCACCATCTAATTTTTTTTTTTGTGTGGGTTTCTAGGTAAGTGTTTTTGCCAGAAAAGCATAAAATGAGGGATTTTTTCAACTTGAACGGGTTTTTGCTGAGGCAGATCAGTTTGTTTTTAAAGCAGTGAGTTTCCCCTGAAATAAATGTAGAGCTTTTCTTCCTTATGATAAAGTCTGTAGCAGTTTTTACGTTGCTATGAGTAATTTTTGTTTTTTAAATTTCAACCTCTGGCTCGAAATTTTGCATTTTTCACCTGATGCAAACGATGCAAATATGGAAAAATTGCATCCAACTCTTTTTACGTTTTTCAAAATTACATTAAAAAAGTCGAAATCTTCTCCTTCAGATTTCAAAACTCCTATTTGGCGAAATCGTTGGAAAAATCGGCACTGATCGGGATGACTTTTCGTTAGGCACACTAATCCATATTTACTCTCTACAAGAAGTGAATTCAATTGGAATGCAGCCTCGAGTGTTGGCAAATTTCAATACCAACAGCTTGGTGTCAAAAACTATCGACAACTTCCCTTTTTCAAAGGTATTTAGGGACAAGCGAGATGGCAGGTTTAGCTCCCTAGCAAGTTGCAAATACCAAATTACCATCGAAACGAAAGAGCGAATTGTAATGTCAATGCTGATTTATCATTAAGCAAATGAACGAGTCGTAGACGGACTGACTGTACCACCGGCAAAATTGAATCCTGATCTTGTGCAGGGCAATAGTGCTAATATGCCCTAAATATTTAGAGTAACATTAATCATTTTATTGATGTTAATTAAATTCCATCTAATGAATTTGCGTTTAGATAGGCGAAGTTGATGAAAGAATCGGCGTTGACCAGGGTAGCTTTTCGTTAGGCCTAACAATTGATGACCAAAATCGAATAATTGCTGCTATCAGGGGCCAACCGCTTGTTCGAGTTTTCCAGGTCAGAATTTTTTTTCTGTTATCAGCACATTCTGTAATAATTTAGCCCTGGACTGTTTATCTAAAGCATTTGTTCAGCTGAAGTCCAGATTTCTTTAAATGGGCCCAAACAAAAGTGTAAACTATGTGTGTGTTGTAGCATTCCAATTTATTAATTTTACATCATTGCTTAATCACTTAAATACTTATACTACACTTGGATATAAATGCCTGATATTAATTTCAGCTAATAGCTGAATATAAAAATATTGGAGGATCGAAAAATGTAGTACTTGAAAATACAATGCTTGAATAATGCCTATCAATTTCCCACAAAAAATTTAATGTGCATCTTTT